GTTGGCAGTGTGTTCTCCCTGTCGTGTGTCGGCGTTAGCCTTCCTTAGTATATATACGCGCTGCTACCTTCTCTGGGCGTTTGTCCGGCTCGCAGGCGCTCTCCCTCCGACGGTGGGTGGTGCTCTCTCTCTCCCTCACTCGCTCGTTAATTGTCGTTTTCCGTTCGTCCGCCCGTCCGTTTCGTTCGTTCGCTTCGTTTGTTCGTCCGTTGTGCTTGTTCGTTCGTCTTTGTCCGTTCGTGTCGTCGTTCGTTTCGTGTCCGTTCGTCCGCCCGTCCGTTTGTTCGCATCGTTTGTTCTTCGTTCGTGTTTTCGTTCGTCGTTCGTGTTCCGGTTTCGTTGTTCGTTCGTTCGTTTGCTCGTTCTGTGTTCGTTCCGTTCGTTCGTTCGTTCGTGTCCGTTCGTCTCGTGTCCGTTCGTTCGTTCGTTTGCTCGTTTCGGTGCTCGTTCGCTTTGTTCGCTGTCTGTCCGAAGACTGACTGACTTTACCATTGGATCTTGGCTGCTTATATTAGGAGCCCGCGGTGACGTAGGACAGGCGGGCCTCCCTGTGCCGCTCCGTCGGCGTGCTGCCGCCGTTGTCCCCCTCGCTTAACAGTGTACAGCGTGATGCAACCCCTTGGTCAGTATACGCACGAGCGTTACCCCTTGTCTGCACGTGCGCGGCTGGCGCCACCCCTCGCACGGCGCGTGTACGTGAGGGATGAATCCCTGACCTCCCACATCGGGCTGGCGCCACCTCTCGCCAGGAAAACTTTCACCTCTGTTGCGGTGGTTGTCTCTGGTGTATGACGTCATCCCCCTGGACTCGACAAATCATCACTCCCCCCTGAATATCTCACACTTAGTTTAAATGTACTCGTGACTAAATATGTAGGAAATGTATTGATGACCGTGTTGCTAGCATTTTTGCCAATATTTAAGCATGTCAGCTGATGATGAGGCAATGCGTCATATAATGCATAATAAACACATGATAACAATTTATTTGTTAGAACGATGGGCTGATAAAGTTTCTTCCATCTGTTTATGGTAAGACGTTAGTTTAAATTTACTCGTGACTAACATATCATATAGTAATGTATTACACCACTTGTACAATTATTAGCATGCAGCATATAAATGCAGCTAATAGCAGCTGCAAGCTAAAATGTCATGCTGGTATTTATTGAAAACCACTAAGACGACTAACTCGACGCGCGACACCCATAGGTGTGCATAAAACAAATTCTTAAATGAAAGAATGAACAATTAGTACCTTGCCTAAAATGCGGATTGCCTCATTTTTGCGGACATATTGAATTGATATATTTCAATGTTGAAATGATGGGTGATAGAGAATTATAATATTGATAAACTGCCAGTTAGAATAGTGATAATGATATTATAATAGTTATTGTTACGACTGTACATGATTATTGAGCGCAGCTAAACATTTATAAGTGTATTATGGATTATGGTAACATGTGTCAAGTAACTGTGAAAAAATAGACAGAGCGATTAGAATGGCGTCGAGTTGGAATAAATGCAGGCGGCACGTAGTAAAATTGCAAAAACCTAAACTTAACAGCCACGTACCTCAGACAATAAAAATCGCGTTCCAATCACCATGCTGCTCTTTCACAAGCTCATGCCCATCCCCTCACAGTGTATACGCAATACGTTTCTGTTCTCTTCTGTTTACGTTCGGTGAACGGTTAGTTTACGTTCAGCTTGACCTCAGGGCGTTAAACACTTTATAATCCTCCCTTTTCAAACGTAAGTCGATCCGTAGTAGAAGCCCGTAACGTTTGCGTGCTTCGCTCGATATCTGGCCTGCAGACTGTCTAGTGAAATTTCGTGTAAACAACATCAATCACCGGCTTAGCATCAACGTGAGGGTACTAAGATGCGCTACGAATAATTGAATCGACGTACGATATGAGCTAACTGCACTACGGACGCTTAACTCGGCCAGTATTATTTGCTACACTAAAGTTATAGTTAGTGCAGCGGTGTGGAAACTCTCCACCGCGGCAGTCTAAGCTGAATCGCCGATCCTTGTGTTGGAAAATCCTTGAAGAAGTGCTCGAGAGAGGGCCCTCGTCGCGCCATCTATGGGACGCCATATGTCGAGATGAATTCAGGCGTGAACGGCAAGAAATGCAAACTCACTTTTCTAGACGAAAAGCTAACATGCTGGCCGACAAGCAAACAGAATACCAGATTTGTATTTATTCTCGACCTACGTGCAATAGCGAAAGGCTTGTGGATCCCCACAACTCCTCAATGTGACGATTATACGGACTTATCCTTGTACCACATAGGCACTGGGGAATTTTATAATATAGGCAGCGAATAACATTTATTGTCACGCTGCGCAGCGTTTGCGCGCTTCGCGTCCCGTGGATACGGGCTGCAGATCGTCGAGTACATACGTATAGCTCTAGTACGTCGTAGCTCTCAGTAGTACTGTCGTAGCCTTGCTCCTTCCTCGATCCTGCGGACGATCCACTACGATGTGGCTGTCATACGTACGTATGTAATATTTAGAGAGCCCCAGACCCTCTCATAACTTAGATTTGAGATAAAAATAACACATTGCCAGAAAGAATTGCAAATTTATAGTGAATTATTGTTTATATAATGAGAGAAAAGATATGGTTTTTCATGGAAAATACATCAGAAAACATACTTATTCTAGCGGTCATAAACCCAAACAAACATTTACAAATGGGAGTTTGTTTCTTCTTGTCAAAGGCAAAGCAAATCGAAGCAGCCAATAGAAGCGCGCTAAATCTTAAAGCTATGTTATAACCAGCAAACAGGAAATTCTCGTACATTCGCTGGAGGTCTAGTTTGGTATACATTAGCAAAAATATTCTAAGAACATTTCGCATTTCGTATGTTTATTGGTTTTACTTGAGTGAGAGAGTTCTTGGAATTCCGGAAACGTTAACCGTCCTCGGCATGGGCACGAAAATTGCCGTTTTTGTATGTTGCAACTATTAGCACAAGTATCAAATGTATTTTTGTTCGCAGTGGCTACGGGACGGTAGCCGTATCTCAATGTCTCGAGGCTACGGGATTACGGTAGTCCATTTGCCGCATGCATCGCCCTTTTCCACAAAATAATGTCGTTCATAGCTATTAAATTAATTACAGCCAAGTAATTAATAATTAATTAATTTATTTAATTAATTAATAAATTAAGCTAGCCTACACTAGTTGTTTTGGGATTGATTTTCAGTTCAGAAACAGTCAGTTCAGTTTTGTTATTGAGAAAGCCAAGATCTATATCACCATAGATTAATTTATCTGTGTTTAGATGCTTCTATACGACTCGAGTCGCCTTATAATTTGTTGTTAAGTCGTTAGTGATTGCGGATAGTTATATGTTTGTACTTGTTTGTGTGTGTGTGTGGTGATGGTTACTGCGACTGGAGACATCTAAATAAGACTGCAGCGCATACGTAGTGTTGCTGCCCAGTTAATATTGTTCATTTTTCGGAAGTTGATAATGTTATCGGTGAATGTTTTGTAAAAACGTTCTCAGATGTCAGGAAAACTTGCCTAAAACAGTTATTAGAACGTTATGAATAATGTTTTGCTAACCTATAGAAACAATTCCCATAACATTCAAGGAACTAACGTTAGCTGGGCCGTTATGGTTAAAAAAATCGCGACCGGCCGTGGATGAAACTCACAGCCTTCCAGTGGACAGTATACGTGGGCCTACACTAGGCCAACGAAGCCATCTCGAAGTTGTAGATTTATTAAGGGTGTTAGCATGCTAGCATGGCCTGTAGGCTTGTTAAGGGCCTTGTTAGCATGCCTGCAGACTGTAGGCTTGTTAATGGGTTATAGCTTAATGACGTAGGTCAATTAATTTGGGTTTTCGGAGCGTGGTCATCGAGCCACGGTGAGATTCACAGTCTCCAATGTTGAGAGACAGGTTTTTACACCTTGAGAAAATTCATTGCCCCGGCCTTGAACTCACAGCCTTTCAGTGGACAGTATACTGTGGCCTAAACCACTAGGCACGAAGCATCTCTAAGTTGTAGATTTATAAGGGGCTTGTTAGCTTAGCTAGCAGACTGTAGGCTTGTTAATGGGTTATAAGCTTTAATGACGTGCGTCTCAATTAATTGTTGCGGACGTGTCTCCGAGACCACGGGAGTTCACAGTCTCCAATGATTGGAGGCAGGTTTTACACCTTGAGAAATTTACAGCCCCGGCCGGGGTTGAACTCACAGCCTTCAGTGGCACAGTACTACGTGGGCCTAACCACTAGGCACGAGCGCATCTCTAAGTTGTAGGCTTTGTTAAGGAACTTGTTTAGTACTAGATGCCTGTAGGCTTGTTGCGGCTTGTTAGCATTGCCTGCAGCGGACTGTAGGCTTGTTAATGGTTATAAGCTTATGACGGTGGCTCAATTAATTGGTTCGGATCGTGGTTCCCATATGAGCACAGGAGCATTCGACATTCTCCAATGTTAAGAGCCAGGTTTTTACACGCTGAGAAAATTCAGCTGCCCCGGCCGGGGATTGAACTCAAACCCTTCAGTGCGACAGCTAACGTGGCTTCTAACCACTACGGCCACGAGACATTCTCTAAGTTAGTTGAATTATTTTTAAGGGTTGGTTAGCTTGTAGCAGGCAACTGTAGTGTTGTAACGGGTGATAGCATTGCTGCGGACTGTAGGCTTGTAAATGGCTGTTATAAGCTTAATGACGTGGTCAATTAATTGGTTTCGACGTGGTCCATCCGGCGCCACGGGAGATTCACATTCTCCATGTTAGAGGAAGGTTTTTACACTTGAGGAATTTACTGCCCCGGCCGGGGATTGAACTCAAGCCCTTCAGTGCGACAGTATACGATCTAGTACTAGTACTAGTGGTAGCGTGAGCTAGTGGTAGTGCGAGTGCTTTTGACTTTGCAGGAAATGATTCTCGCAAATGCGCAGATATTTGCATTGGCTGTCTTTTAACCCGTCAATGTGAGCTGTTCTTATGTTGCAGATGTACTTCCGAAGTCCATCTCTCTACATGATCATCTACATGTGTGATGTCATGTTCTGTATTATTTAAAAGATCCATATCGTTTCAACGGGTCTTCTTCACACAACAAAGGACAGCAGAATTACAAACATGACCCAACGAAGTAGTGTTTTCCGTAACTTTTAACTTTTGACAGGCAGCCATGCACGCAAGCACATAGCTAGCTGTAGTACTACAAACAGACAAATACGCACACACGTGCGTATACATGTATGAACGCACGCAGTCACACTCCAACGCACGTACGCATACAACACTTATACTCACACATACTTATACAACACGTGTAGAAGTACAACGTGTTGACACTTTCATTGATATTTCCATTCAACTAGCAAAGAAGAGCAGCTCAATAGAGCTCAGCTCTTTCATTCTATTCTTCCTAAAATTCTCGACTGCTCGCTGGCAGCAATGGATCCGTGCGCCGACCTACGCAATCGGCGCACGGATCCATAGCTGCCAGCGCTGCATACTGTCGTAGGAAGTTCCCGCGGTCGCGTGCGCCTTGCCGCGGAACTGCACGCAACATCTGCGCTCAGCGCTTCGGATCAATACCTCCTTTCGGCAACGCTTCTCTAGTATCCCGCCTCATCTAGTTGACGCTAGTAGTAGTATTACTAGTACGTTAGTAGTCGTAGTAGTAGCCTAGTGTTTAACCCTGAGGTCAGCTGAAACGGAATTAAACTAATCGGACCACGGCACGAACATAAACAGAAATTCGGCAGCTATAACTATAATTATAAGCCTAGACCCTCTCATAACTTAAGATTAAGATGAAAATAACACATTTGCACACAGAATTGCAATTATAGTAATATTACATGTTATAATAATGAGTAAAATGTGTGTCTTTCATGGAAAATACATCAGAAAACTTATACTTATCTAGCGATCATAAACCAAAACAAACATTTACAAACGGCGTTTGTTCTCTTGTCTTGAAGGGTTTCTTCAGTCAAAGCAAATCAGTCAAGAAACGGCATGATATTTGGGTTAATTCACTCAAACCCATATTGTTTTAAAGAAAACATACTAAAATCTACTTTAACCTAACTTACAGAAAGTTCGGGAAAGTTTTTGGTAGATAATTGGGGATTTTGGCTAGTTTTTGGGATTTCCACCAGTTTCTCCCCCTCCTCCTTCTCCACCAGCTTCTCCCCTTCCTCATTATTCACTAGCTTCTCCCTACTCCACCTACTAGTACTACTCTAAACTTCCTCTTCCTTCCCCTTCCCCTCCCTACACTGCTCCTTCGCTACCCTGTACCAGAACTTGGTATTTTACACAAACCTTCAAGTGTACACAACCTATCGTAACACAAAGACAAGCTGTCATTGGTCGGGTCGGGGCGGGGCGGGGCTATCTCAGATATTTCGCACTCGTTAGATATTTCGCGCGACACCGGCCGGGGATTGAACTCACACCCTTCAGTGGACAGTATTACGTGGCCTAACCACTAGGCCACGAAAGCATCCATAAGTTGTTGGCTTGTTAAGAGGCTTGTTAACATGCTAGCATGCCTATAGGCTTGTTAAGGGGCTTGTTAGCATGCCTGTAGGCTTGTTAAGGGGCTTGTTAGCATGCTAGCAGGGCTGTAGGCTTGTAAATTGGTTATTAGCTTACTAGCAGGCCTGTAGGCTTGTTTAGGCGCCTGTTAGCATGCTAGCATGCCTGTAGGCTTGTTAAGGGGTTATAAGCTTACTAGCAGGCCTGTATGCTTGTTAAGGAGCTAGTTAGCATGCTAGACGATCTGCAGCCCGGATATCCGTGCGAAGCGCGCGAACGCCGCGCAGCGGTGACAATAAATGTTATTCGCTGCCCTATATGGAAAAAAAATTCCCCAGTGCCCTATGGGTACAGGATAAAGCCGTATAATCGGTCAATTGAGGAGTTGTGGCGATTCCACAAGCCTTCCGGCTATGCACGTAGGTCGAGAATAAATACAAATGCTGGTAATTGCTTGTTTGCTGGTCGGCGCATTTCATTTTCGTCTAGAAAAGCGAGTTTGCATTTCTTGCGTTTCACGCCCTGAATTTATTCTCGTACATATGGCGTCCCATAGATGGCGCGACGAGGCTCTCTTCGAGGGATTTTCAAGGGAATTTTCCACACAAGGATCGGCGATTCAGCTTAGACTGCTCCGCGGTGGAGAGTTCCACACGCTGCACTAACTATAACTTTAGTGTAGCGAAAGATACTTGGCCGAGTTAAGGTCCGTACGTAGCAGTTTAGCTCCAATCGTGACGTGGGATTCAAATTATCGTAGCCATCTTAGTACCCCTTACGTTGATGGCTAAGCCCGTTGATTGATGTTTGTTTACACCGAGAATTTCCACTAGATGTTATCTGGAAAAGCGCCTGGCTCCGTACGTGCGAGGTTTTTATCAACCCGTGCCCGTGGCACCCGCGCGACCCGTGCCCGTGGTCCGTGGCGACGGCACGTCCTGCGAGAACGTGCTGGCGTGGCCGTGGCAGTTTTTACACGTAGCTAATCCTACAATACGCCGCCACACTGACACACAAATATATATATATATCCACATGTTTTTACGAAGACGGCGGAGTGCCTGCATATTGCAGTTGCAGTTGGAATATATTATAGACATAGTGTTCCAATAATAGACATAGATAGTTGTATGCAGGACAATGCATACTGCAGTTGTAATACTGCAGTTTTTACACGTAGCTAATCCTACAATACGCCGCCACACTGACACACAAATATATATATGCACACGTTTTTACGAAGACGGCGGAGCGCGACATTCCAGCCTCCCTCCTCGGGGAGTTTTTGCGCCGCGGTGACTTTCGTATGTAACATAGATTTTGTCATTTATTTAGCATTACATTTATTGAAACGCCCTGCAAAAGTGCATCGCTTGTGTGCCTGGCTTGCGCCAGCATGATGCATGTATATAAGATACCTTATTAACCCGTGGCGGCGGAGCGAGCGAGAAAGAGAGAGAGAGAGAGAGAGAGAGAGAGACAGACCTTGGGGAGTGCGAGAAAGAGAGAAAGAGAGTGGGAGAACGCCAGATAAGGTACGAAAATACGCCAGGTGACGGTACGACGGCGAGGATGTACAAACGCGTGTCAATCTATAATCAGAAAGGCCCCCCTCCAAAGCCGATGTACATGTCCCGAAAACTGTGCGATGTTAGGCTGCCCGGTATACGCATTTGCGCGCCCGCCTTCCTTCGGCGCGCGAATTCGTATAGCGGGGAGCACGAGATGCTACATACAACACCCCGCGGTCGCGTGCGCCCAGTCCCATGGAAGTGCGCGGCTTAACCGCTTTCTGCGGTCGGGGAACAACGCATCTTTTGCGCATCGCCATCTTGTACCCGGTCTCTTCTGGCTGGCCGATAGGCTTGTTAAGGGGTTATTAGCTTTCTAGTAGGCCTGTAGGCTTCTTTAGGGGTTATAAGCTTGCTAGCAGGCATGTAAGCTTGTTAAGGGGCTTGTTAGCTTGCTAGCAGGCCTGTAGGCTTGTTAAGGAGTTATAAGCTTGCTAGCAGGCCTGTAGGCTTGTTAAGGGGCTTATTAGCATGCTAACAGGCCTGTAGGCTTGTTAATGGGATATAAGGTTATTGACGTGGTCAAATAATTGTTTTCGGACGTGGTCATCCGAGCCACGGGAGATTCACAGTCTCCAATGTTGAGAGGCAGGTTTTTACACCTTGAGAAAAATTCACTGCCCCGACCGGGGATTGAGCTTTCAGTGGACAGTATTACACTAGGCCACGAAAACATCCATAAGTTGTTGGCTTGTTATGGGGCTTGTTAACATGTTAGCATGCCTATAGGCTTGTTAATGGGTTATAAGCTTGCTAGCAGGCCTTTAGGCTTGTTTAGGGGCCTGTTAGCATGCTAGCATGCCTGTAGGCTTGTTAAGGGGCTTGTTCGCATGCCGGCAGGCCTGTATGCTTGTTAAGGGGTTATAAGCTTGCTAGCAGGCCTGTAGGCTTGTTAAGGGGTACATGTGCGTGCATGCGTGCGTGTGTACGTCCGTGAATGTGTGCACGTACACATGCGTACGTGCGTGTGCACATACGCGTGCATGCGCGCATTCATGTGCACGTGCGTGCGTGCGTACATGTGCACGTACACGTGCATGCGTGTGCACGTACACATGTGCACGTGCGTGCGTGTGTGTGTACGTGTGCACGTACACGTGCGTGCGCACGTTCATGTGCATGTACACGTGCGTGTGTGCGTGCATACGTGTCCACGTACACGTGAATGCGTGCGTGCTTGCCTGTGCACGTACACGTGCGTGCGTGCGTGTGCACGTACAAGTGCAAGCGTGCATGTGTGCGTGCGTACGTGTGAACGTACACGTGCCTGCGCGCGTTGATGTGCAGGTGCAGGTGCGTGCGGTCATGTGCACGTACACGTGCGTGCGTGTGCACGTACACATGCGTACGCACGTGCGTGCGTGTGCACGTACACGTGCAAGAATGCGTGCGTGTGCACGTACACGTGCGTGTGTGCGTACGTGTGCACGTACAGGTGCAAGTGTGTGTGGGTGCGTGCGTGCGTGCGTGTGCACGTACACGTGCGTGCTCGCGTTCATGTGCACGTGCACGTGCGTGCGTACGTGTGCACGTATAGGTGCGTGCGTGCGTGCGTGCGTGTGTACACGTGCGTAGGTGCGTGTGCACGTACCAGTGCAAGCGTGCGTGCGTGTGCACGTACACGTTCAAGTGTGCGTGCGTGCGTGTGCACCTACACGTGCGTGCGTGCGTATGTGCGTGTGCACATACACGTGCGTTTATGCGTGCGTGTGTGCGTTCGAGCGTGCGTGTGTGTGTACGTACACGTGCATGCGTGCGTGTGCACGTACACTTGCGTGCATGCGTGCGTGTGTGTGCACGTACACGTGCGTGCGTGCGTGTGTGCTTGTGCACGTGCGTGCGTGCGTGTGCACGTACACGTGCAAGCGTGCGTGCATGCGTGTTCATGTACACGTGCACGTATATGTGCAAGCATGTGTGAGTGCGTGCGTGCGTGCGTGCGTATGCACGTACACGTGCAAGCGTGTGTGTGTGTTCGCGCGCGCGTACGTGTACGTACGTGCGTGCGTGCGTGCGCTTATAAGATTAACGTATAAGCTTGCTAGCGGGCCTGTAGGCTTGGTAAGGGGCGTATTAGCATGCTAACAGGCCTGTAGGCTTGTTAATAGGATATTAGCTTAATGACGTGGTCAAATAATTGTTTTCGGACGTGGTCATCCGATCCACGGAAGATTCACAGTCTCCAATGTTGAGATCAAGGTTTTTACACCTTGAGAAAAATTCACTACGCCGGCCGGTGATTGAACTCACAGCCTTCAGTGGACAGTATTACGTGGCCTAACCACTAGGCCACGAAAGCAGACATAAGTTGTTGGCTTGTTAAGAGGCTTGTTAACATGCTAGCATGCCTATAGGCTTGTTAAGGGGCTTGTTAGCATGCCTATAGGCTTGTTAAGGGGCTTGTTAGCATGCCTATAGGCTTGTTAAGGGGCTTGTTAGCATGCTAGCAGGGCTGTAGGCTTGTTAATGGGTCATAAGCTTGCTAACAGGCCTGTAGGCTTGTTTAGGGGCCTGTTAGCATGCTAGCATGCCTGTAGGCTTGTTAAGGGGCTTGTTCGCATGCCAGCAGGCCTGTATGCTTGTTAAGGGGTTATAAGCTTGCTAGCAGGCCTGTAGGCTTGTTAAGGAGCTTGTTAGCATGCTAGCAGACCGGTAGGCTTGTTACGGGGTTATAAGCTTTCTAGCCGGCCTGTAGGTTTCTTTAGGGATTATAAGTTTGCCAGCAGGCCTGTAGGCTGGTTAAGGGGCTTGTTAGCATGCTAGCACGTCTGTAGGATTGTTAAGGTGCGTGCGCCCGTTCATGTGCATGTGCACGTGCGTGCGTGCGTGTGTGTGCACGTACAAGTGCAAGCGAATGTGCGTGCAAGCGTGCGTGCGTGCGTATGCACGTACATGTGCGTGCATGCGTGGATGTGTACGTCCGTGAATGTGTGCACGTACACGTGCATACACGTGCGTGTGCACATACACGTGCGTGCGTGCGCACGTTCATGTGCATGTGCATGTGCACGTGCGTGCGTGCGTGTGTACGTGTGCACGTACACGTGCGTGCGCACGTTCATGTGCATGTACGTGCGCACGTTCATGTTGCGTGCGCACGTACACGTGCGTGCGCACGTTCATGTGCATGTACGTGCGCACGTTCATGTTGCGTGCGCACGTACACGTGCGTGCATGCGTGCGTGTGTGTGCACGTACATGTGCGTTCATGCGTGCGTGTGCACGTTCACTTGCGTGCATGCGTGCGTGTGTGTGCACGTACATGTGCGTTCATGCGTGCGTGTGCACGTTCACTTGCGTGCATGCGTGCGTGCGTGTGCACGTACATGTGGGTGCGTGCGGGCGTGTGCACGTACACGTGCAAGCGTGTGTGTTTGTGTGTGTGTGTGTGTGTGTGTGTGTGTGTGTTTTGTGTGTGTGTGTGTGTGTGTGTGTGTGTGTGTTCCCG